GCACTATATCTGACAGTGTTTCTCTGCTATTCATAAGGTTTTCAGTGACTAAATATTCTGAAGTAGTTTGTCACTCCTTCTTCCTAGTCTGTCTTTGTCTGGAAGCTCATTGAAACCTGTCTGCCTTGAGTGACCCTGCTGGTTGTTTAAAATACCATTAGCATAACTTCCAGAATTACACAACTCACAAGTCACTACAGTGCGACAAACTGACAGACAAGTGATGGACCAAGAGGCAGTTGTTTGAAAAGAACATGGGAACACTGAATGGTTTCAAATTAAGAAAGGTATGCAACAAGGTTGTATTCTTTTACCATACTTATTCAACCTGTATGCTGAGCATATAATCTGAGAAGCTGGGTTCAAGTTCCACTAGCTATAAGTGTTCAAACTTTTAAAATATTCCTATCTCTGTGGTTCCAAGTTTTGGAGCTCTGCCCTGGATTTGCTTTGCCTGGTAGTCTGTGGTATTGCTGACAGCGAACTTCACTGTACCTCCACCCTAGCCACCATCAAGCCCCGCCTCTCCCAAATATCTCATTCTGGTTGAACACAAAATGAATACTCATGGAGGCAACAATCAAGAAATCAAATGACCAATTGCATTAGGCAAATCTGCTGCAAAAGATCAAAGATGTCACCTTGAGGACGAAAGTGCATCTGATCCAAGTCATGGTGTTTTCAGCTATCTCATATGCATGTAAAAATTGAACAGTGAATAAGGAAGACTGGAGAAGAATTGATGCATTTAATTATGGTGTTGAAGAATATTGACTATATCGTGGACTGCAAAAGAATAAACAAATCTGATTTGGAAAAAGTATGGCCATCGCTCCTTGGAAACAACAAAGGTGAGACTTCGTCTATCCTACTTTGGACATGTTTCAGGAAGGACCAGTCCCTGTAGAAGGACATTGTGCTTGGTAAAGTTGAGGGTCAGTGAAAAAGAGGAATACCCTAAATAAGATGGATTGGTACATAGCAACAACAATAGACTCAAACAGAACAATTGTGAGGATGGCAAATGTCCAGCAGCATTTTAATCTATTGTGCATAGCTCACTATGAGTTGGAACCAACTGATAGCACCTAACAACAACAATGTATGCCAAGTACTGTACTAAGGGTTTGGACATATCTGAGAAAAAATTTAAACGAATGATATTTAGGTAACTTCAACAGACTGACCAAAAGATTAAAGGAAGCAAGGAGAGCACAGGAAAAACTTTAGAAGAATTCTGGAAAACGCTACAAGAACAAACACAAAATAAATACAAATTTGGAAACAATACAAAACCTGCAATTCGAAATCTAAAAGATTATTACTAAGATCTCAGAAATGGACAATACATTGAGAGGGCACAGGAGTAGATTTGAATCAATGGACACCTGAATTAGTGACTCTGAAATAAATCTCTCAATATGAGTAAGGTAGGATAACAATCAGAAAAAAGAATGAAAAAATTTGGAAGAAAACTTGAGACTTATGTGGACACTATGAAGAGAAATAATTTAGGGGTGACTGGAATTCCAGAACAGGAAGGGACAATGAAAAGCATGGAACAAATTTTTGAAGAGTCGCTGAAACAAAACGTCCCTTAACGTCATTAAAGACGAGAAGATAGCCCTTCAAGAAGCTGAATGAACCTCAAATAGGATAGACTCCAAAAGAATCACTAAGACATTATAATCAAACCTTCCAAAATCAAAGACAAAGAAAAAATCCTGAGAACAGAGCTGGAAAAATGAAAAGTTACCTACAAAGGAGACCCAATAAGACTAAGCTCTGATTTCTCAGCAGAAACCATGCAGACAAGAAAGCAATAGGATGACATATACGAGACTCTGAAAGAAAAAAATGCCAACCAAGAATCATATACCCAGCAAAATTGTCCCTCAAATATGATGGCAAAATTAGGACATTTCCTGATAAACAGAAGTTAAAGGAATTTGTAATAACTAGACCAACTTTACAAAAAATATTGAAGGGTCTTTTTTGGACTGAGAACCAACACCATCAGACAACAACCTGAAATCAACATACATGACACCACCACCTAGAACTCAATCCAGATACAGAAGTATTTAAAGTAAAACAAACATACAAAACTGACAACAGGGAACCTGAAAGATCAATTTATAATGAAGTCAGCTATAAAGCAAAGAGGGAATAATGTAGATAAAGAACTTCCAAATGGCAAGGAAGTCAAGGAAATTTCAAGATTAAGCATACTGTTTTGAACAGGGAAAAAGTTAATAAATTACAGGCTAATCTCAAAGAAAATTAGTACTCCTTCACATCAAAATAAAAAAGGGGGGAATCAGAAAATTTTAGTAAACATTAGCACAACATAAATTAAAATGAAAGGAAAACCTATAAACAAAATGATCTCAGCACAGAAAATTATGTGGAACATAAAAAACATCAGCACTACAAAAAACACACACAGCAAAATGACAGCAATTCATTCATACCTATCTATGACTGCACTGATGAAATGCACCACTCAAGAGACAGATAGTAGCAAAATAGATACAAATTTAAGTTCATACACACAAGGGAATTGAAGAATGCTGAGTAATCTGTGAAACATCTCAAAACATGGATGAACCTGGAGGACATTTGTTGTGGTGATGGTTAAGTACCTAGGGTTGGTTTGACTCACAACAGCCGTGCAGGGCTTCCACAGCTTTAAAAATCTTTGAGGGAGCAGAAAGCCTCATCTTTCTTCTGCCAACCTTGTAGTTTGCAGTCCAGAGGGTATCTTATAGAGTCACCGACTCCCCCTGAAGAACATTGTTATTGTTATGTGCTGGTGAGTTGCTTCCTACTCACAATGACCCTGTCTAAGACTTCTGAGGCTTTAAATCAGGGAGGAGTAGAAAGCCTCATCTGTCTCCCACGGAGCAGGCTGGCAAGCTTAAACCATGGACTTTGTGGTTCACACAGTCCAGTAATTCCCAGGAGGACACTATGTGGAGAGAAATTGTTGTTGTTGTTGTTAAGTGCCGTTAAGTCAGTATAGGGTTTCCAAGGAGGAGCTGGTGGGTTTGAACCGTGAACCTTGTGATTCACAGTCCAGTGCTGATCCTACAGCACCATACCAGAAGTCCTGAATGAAATTGTTGTTGTGAAGTGTCATCGAGTCTGTTCCGACCCATAGCGACCCTGTATAGCGTTTCCGAGGAGCAGCTGTTAACCTTGAACCGCTGACCTTGTAGTTCAAACCAACCTTGTAGTCTAGAGCGTAAACCTTCAGCTCCACACCAGGACTACTGAGTGAAGTTAGTCAATCACACAAGGACAACTAGTAGTAAGAAACTACTATTTTTAAAAGTTTCTTAACTTTGCTTACTGAAAGAAATATTCTATGGTAGTTACCAGGCATGGGAGGGAAGGGAAATTTTTTTACAGGCTATAGGGTTGTTGTTATGTGCTGTGAAGTCGGTTCTGACTCACAGTGACCTTGTATAGGATTTCCAAGGAGCTACTACCGCTGTTAACTTGGGTGATGGTGGTGGTTATGTGCTGTGGAGTCGGTTATGACTCATAGCCACCCAGTAGAGAAAGGGTTTCTGAGGCTGTAAATCTTTACAGAAGCAGAAAGCCTCATCTTTCTCCTGCAGAACAGCTGGTAGTTTCGAACTGCAGCCCAAATCGTAACCACTGTGCTACCAGAGCTCCTTAACTTGGGTGCTGGGTACACAATTTACAACAAGAGAGAGGCTGGCACAGGAAAGATGAAGGTAGTGGAAGACACAGGCAGTAGTGCAAAAGTTAAAGCGAGTAGAGGTAAGTATTATTAACTGATAGTATACGGAAGAGATGGCAATTATTGTAACAACAAAAAGTATATGTTTTGTAGAATGTGAGATTGATGACTGTTCCGTAAACTTTCATTCAATTCACAGTAAAAAGTTTTGTTGTTTTTTTCAAATCAACAATAGTTAACTAACAACAACACCAATTTTAAGGGTGCTTGGGAATACTCTCTTATATGTGTAATTCAGGAAGAAATCAGCACTCACTTATGATCTTCATATTTTCCCAATGCATTAATTTTATGCTAATGCTTTTCTTATTCTCCCACAGTCCTAAAGATCGTACTTGCCATTGCCTTTTGTCTCGTGGCTGGTGTCCTAGCGCTGCTACTATTTACCCTTATCCGCCATGGGCCCTGCTGGAAGAGAGAATACTCTCAGGATTTCTGAACCGATGTTGGAGTAAGGATTGACAAGACGGACAAGCCTCCCATGATGCAGCATCTCTCTGTGACACAGCATCCAGATGTTCACCAGGAGAGATCACCCTGTCCACATCCTTCCTTTTGAGCCTCTGTAAGCAGGGACTTAACTCACAGCAACTCAGGGACAGCAGCTCAACTGTCAGGCTTACTGCTGACATCCACATTACTTAACAGATCTCAATGGGCTAGAAAGAGAATCATCTTCAAAAGAGACTTGTATTCCTGACACAGATGCCTAGAATGCAATAAGAAAGCAAACGCCAATCAGCCTTTTTTCTGCAAAGAGCAAGAGGTTGCAAGATGAGACAAAGACAAAGGGAATAGAAGACTGGATATTGGGGAACATTAGGCTAGAAGTAGATGACACAGAATATTAAATAGGCTAAATACAGACAGACACACCTCTGTGAAAAGAAATCCTTACCCAGTGTTTGATAGCTCACAGACTTCTATATGTAGCTTGTATACTAGCATACATACATGTGTATTTAAAATACCTTATAAAGAGGTATCTCAGAGGGATGCTGATCTCAGAAACTAATATCTACAACCTTAGTTGTGGCTCAGGTCATTTTTTCACCCCATAATATTATGTGGGAAATAACTAGAAAATCCATGTAGCTATGTTTTTTAAAATTTTGTCATTTTTTTCTGTATTGTAAGAGTTGGTTATTTATACAGTTTAGATTTATTTCATTTTAAAAGTAAAAGATCTCACTTTGATATGGACTACTATGCATGTCCATGATGAAATAATACATTTTTAGTTCTCACAAATACATCTGAATTTCACAAGTGTTTTATTTCTTAGACATTGGTTTTGTAATAAAAAAAATAAGACTTTGGACAGGATAAACCAAGAAATATTTTCTCCCTCTCATGTTCTGTGAACAATTTTTTTTTTTTTTAATTTATGTTATGGATTGGTCCAAGTAAGCACCTTCATGGATAGCACCACTGTAAGAAGTTTGGTTTTTTATTCTAAAGTATTTTATTCTGCTCTGAGCCTCAGACCATCCAGTTAGTATGCATTTTAGTCTCATCCATTGGTGGGATCCTCTGCCTACCCAGGTTCTGATCCCAGTTTGTACCTGGTGGCAACAGTTAGAGAAGGATCCTCTAGGTTTCTGTCCACATTGTTCTCCAGTAAACTCACTATCTGTGCCTAAACAGAAGGTACATAGGTCTGCCACATCTGTACCATAGCTTGCAAAGGCCACACTTTTGAAGTTCACTAACCTGGCAGTCTAGTCTAGTCCCCTATCTGAAGTGATGCTGATAAGCAGAGTTGGGATCTTTGCCCTTCATGGATGCCCCCCAGAGCCCCACCCCATGTCTTAGGTTCAAGAGTTTTCCTTTCCTTTCTCATCTTGTAGCTTCAACTTCTTAAACTCAAAGCATCTCCCTCTATCACTATATCACTTCTACATAAATCTCTTTATTGAGCAAAGGGCATTGCAACAAATAAATAAATAGATCTGAGTTGAAGTTGTCTTCTTTTGGCTGACAACTTTTGCTTCCTGCTGCAATGTAAGAACCACGTAGGAAAGAAACCCAAAATCTGGCTACGTTTTTGACTTGGGAAAGGGAAAAACATCTATAGAAGTAAGAACAAAGAACAAATTACTTTTCAGTAAACCAGTCAGCAATGTAAGTGATTGATCTACAATATCTTATGCTAATGATGATTTGACTTAAAAATAGTAGTGTAAATCACCCAAAATCATGGAATTTCTCACTCATTCAACAAACACTAATGGAGAACAAACTATTTGCTAATCACTGGCTTAGACCCCAAATGTGTGGAGCTGTGGGATAAAGCACTGGACCACAAGGTCTGTTTGAACCACAAAGTCATTGTTCAAACTCACCAGCTGCTCCTTAGAAACCCTACCCAGGGTGGCTGAGTCGGGACGGACTCACCAGCACTTTACATCAACAATGTGATTTTTAAGGTGCTTGTCCAATAAGGACCGTACACAGAGTTGGTAAAATATAAAAGTAAAGCCTTTCCAATCTTTTCTCCATAGCACCTTATAATACTGCTAGCAGTCAAAAGGAATTCTACTTTCTACTATTCCTGAAGGGCTCTTCCTTCAATCATATCTTTTGATGGTTATAAGATTCTCACTCCCTACTTGTTTGTTTCCTTTATACCATCCTCGGGGTTAATCTGCTGATAAATACTGTCACCGATTTTCAAGCCTAATGACAGAATGAAAAATCACAAATGGTAAATGATCCGTAGTGATGTATCAGAGAGCACATTTGTACTATAATATTTATCAGGAAATAAGCTAATCACCCAACTTCAACAAGAGAGAGTCTAGGCAAAGTCTCCCTAATAATCAAAGGGACTTTTTCAGATGGTCATAGATAATCAGTCGAGTTGTCACAATGATAATTATTGTGTGAAAGGCAATTACTACAGTTGAGAAAAACCTATGTTCTTGAAGTGTATTTGCTGCATTTGAACCACCATAGAGGCTTTGAACAAGAAAAGGACAATTTATCATCTCTAGGGTGTTAGAAGAGTGCAAGCACTAGAAGTCAGCATTTTACCAGAAGTTATTCAGCCAACAAACCTTTTTAATATGAGAACGGACATTTCTTCCTCTTGAAAATAGAATGGCTGCTCTTCTTTCAACTTCATGTTCTCTTCCTTGCTTTAATGTTTTTAGCATTGATTCTTTCCTTCATAGCCAGAGGGATTTCCTGGTAAGTGAAAGCTGAAACATTTCAGTTTTTTCTTTCAAAACTCTCGATAGAAATCCCATTTAAGCAATAATGTATGTGTGCTACATTTGGAGCTGTAGGCCAGGGCAGTGTAGTAGAAATACAACATAAGCCACAAATGTGTAACGTTTGTATAATTTGACATTTTAAATGTTCTGATATCCACATTTTCAAAAGGTAAAAATAAACAGGTGAAATACATTTTCATAATAATTTTACTTAATTGAATATATCTAATATATACTTTCTTGAATGAAATATTTTATACTCTTCATTTCATACTAAGTCTTTGAAATGAGATGTGTATTTTATGCTTAGTTGTTGCTGTTAAGTGCTGCTGAGTTGGCTCTAACGCATAGCGACCCTGTATAGGACTTCTGGGCAACAGCTGGTGGATATGAACCTCCAGCCTTGTAGTTAGCAATCCAGTGCTTATCCTTCAGTGTCACACCAGGAATCCTTAAGCATATCTCAATTCAGACTAGGTACATTTCAAGTGCTTAATAGCCATATGTAATTATTGGGTACCACAATGGATAATTAAGCCTTAGACTGTAATAAGAAATCTCTTTGAAGCTGAGAAAATATGTTTTTGTTACAGTTTGTACAATACAGTTTCATATTATTGTAAAAAAATTAAAATGATCTTTATTATTTTTGTGTGTGTGCTCAATTGCTGCATCTTACTATTTTTTAATATATGCTGAATTGGTGAAGGATTTTCCTGATTTGTTATCTTTATAAAGTTGTGTTAATAATGGAAGTTCTATTTCTCTGCATACTAAGAGATTTATTTCCCAAAGCATCAAATTGGTCTTCAGCAAATCCATTGTTTTCTTACTTCCATGAATTCTTACTTATTCACTAATTGTTCCTTTTTCATAGTGACCACTGAATACAATCTCCTTTTGAAGACCCTTGATACTATAGCAAATTTTTCAAGTTCCCCTTTGCTCCCTAAATTATCTGGTTTCTCTGGGTTCAGTTGTTTGAATTTATTAATCTTGGATGTTCTCTTTTATACTCTGAGTTCTACTCAATTTCTTATGAGTTTTTGTCTATTTTTATTAATGAAGAACTTTGTTGATTAGTAGAGATGGTTGGTTTTGGTTTCATTTTAAGTAATATATGTCTGTTTCCTAAACAAACATCTCCTTCAATGGCTGCTTTAAAATTCTTGTGTGCTGATTACAATTTCTCAGTCTCAAGCTAAGCTTCTCATGGTTTTGAATGTTGAGCAATTTTGGATTATATTTTATAAGCATCGATATGATATATTGTAGAGACTCTGAATTCATTATATTCCCCAGAAAGATTTTTTTCTTCTGCTGACGCTTTGTTTATATTTTATTTTCTTTATCTGTTTTAAGTGATCAATTAAACTGTTTGAACTCAAATTGCAAGCTATCTCCTCTGTAATGGGCAATATGCAAATCTCAGTTCAGTTCTTTTAGCCTTAGTTAGCTGATTCAAGACTGTCCTGTCTACTCTTAAAGGTCAGCCACAGATTTGGGCTGCTAATATACAGAATTTCAGGGTTCCCTCTCTCTGGTCCTCTATTTTTGGATGCCTGAGTTCCAGCTCTTCCAGGCTTTATTAGCACAAATTCACTGGCATAGCCTAAGGCCCAGGTATGTACATAAAAAAACCCCAACGTTCTTGTCATGGAGGATATTCCAAGAGTTTAGAGGCTGGTGGGTTTGTACCACTAACCTTGTGGTTAGCAGTCCAGTGCTTATCCTAAAATGCCACATCAGGATTCCTCCTCAAAGGAGTACAAAAACAAAACAAACACACAGCCGTTGAGTTGATTGTGACTTTAGCAAATTCCACAGCAATACAAACTTACTGCTGTCTAGTCAATTCTGACTCATAGTGACCCTATGTAGGGTTTCTGAGCCTGTAAATCTTTACTGGAACAGACAACCTCATCTTTCTTCTGCAAAGTGGCTGGTAAGTTTGAACTGCTGACCTTGCAGTTGTTGTGATGTGCCGTGGAGTCAGTTCTGACTCATAGCGACCCTGTACAGGGTTTCCGAGGCTGTATATCTTTACGGGAGCAGAATGCCTCATCTTTCTCC